TATTTCAGATATATGATTGCGCACCGATTACTTTTGGACTTGCAACACAATCAATTTGAAATAATAATAATAATAATAATGTTATAAATTAAATTTGATTGTGAATTTAAAGAATTCTTTTCTAATACATAAACATTTTATACTTGAGATGAAAACGAAATCCTCGTTAGACTTTTGTTGAAATTTAAACATATCTAATTATATTAATTTGACATAATTTGTTATTTGAATATTTAATGTTAAATTGATGTTTAACTGCATTTTTTGTGTTAAAATAACACAATGTGTGAGTAATCAAATAACATAAAAATAGTATAGTTTCGGAACATAAATTCTATAATAAATAAAAGATAAATGTTGGTGCTAAATTAACGTATTATAAATGTTAACTGAAGAAATATGTTTTCACAATTTGTTTCCAAATTATATCAGTGGGTATTATATCTTTATGTTAATTTTTACATAATGTTTATTTTCTAACGTGTTCACACCTTGTGATAACACATGGATCGGAGTGGACGTTTGGGGCACGTGAAACGTGTTAGATGTAACACAAATTTTTCAATTGTATGTTCGTAATTTTCATATATGTATATAAATGTAATTTTTCACTTGAGAGTCAAAATCCATCTTGCATTCACGAATGATCATAAAGATCGTGGCGTAATGTTATATAATTACACCTTAACGACGTAACTTCCGCACGGTAATTCCTCCAAATTTCTCAGGCAGTGAGGTAGGTCGGTATAATCTTCCGTAGCGCTGTGTTTCTATTCTATACTAACGGCTCGCGGAAGGAGCGAGGAATCATAACAGCGTAAAGGAGTACCTAGTGATGTTCGCATCACAACGTATGTACGCGCGCATACGCGCGTGACTCGTAAAAATAAGAACGCATTTTCTCACGTACATATAGCAATTCCTGCATATTTTTCAATAATTTTACTCGAGCGGGTGGACTAAACCTTTCAGGAGAAGCTGCAACGTTAAGTTTCCGCAATTTAACATGAAAGCACTCGAGTGCGTCGCCATCAGAATTTTATGAATCTTTTTTCATCGTGATAAATCTCACCAAGTAGATTGAACGCGTAGTCTAAAGAATTTTTTCGAGAGATATTCTAAATGGTTTTTATTTGAAAAATTATATAATTTTACAATTTTTTTAAGGATAATCCTAAAACAGATCGATCCAATTATTTCTACAAAATACTTGCCGGTGTATGTAATATTTCAAATCCCTTTATTACGAGAAGCATTGATGTTATTTTTCGATTCCTTATATTTTCGCGAGAGAGGAGAAATATTTTCTCGTAAGACAATGTCATCTCCACGTCGGCTGCAATCTCGTATAAATTTTGGGAGCAACGAATTTTTTAGCATTGCATCATCGCTTGGTAGAATGACGTGCTGTCCAGCCGCCATAACTTGAACGACCGGTCGACCCCCGCTGTCGACGTTCCTGGGACATAGGGGTAGGAAGCAAGAGAGCGAGAGCGAGCGAAAGAGCGGAGAGGAGCCGCGTGGAGGAGGAGAAAAACGAGGAGGAGGAAAACGAGGAGGAGGAGCAGGAGGAGGAGGAGGGTGACGGGGCAGAGTGAACCCCTTATTGATTTTTAGGGTGACACTGTCAACCGGCAGCGAGTCCCCCGCGACGGGCGACTTTCAAACGACAGCGAGTGAGGAAAAAAAAATGCGCCGGCCGGCGACGCGCCGTTGCACGTTTGCGTAGAGAGTCTTTCGATCTACGATCGTAGCACGCGACTTACAGCACCCCGTCGACGACGCCGTATGTCGGTTAGTCGACGACGAGAATAACGACGGTAAACCGCCTTAGTTGATACGCACGCCGGGTGAGGCCGTGCGACGCATATTGTCTTTTTCGCCGCATATTGTGGTGGTTGGTGACGACGACGACGACGATAACGACAACGACGACGACGACGTTGGTGGTGGCGGCAGTGGCGGTGGCGGTGGCGGTGGCGGCGGCGACGGGAGGAAAGAGTTAACCGCGGCGCAGTCCCGTTGCGGTCGGGGGTGCAGCTCTCTCTCGGTGCGCAGGGCCGTACACATTCGTGGGAGCCGCTCCACGTGGGGCGAGCTGTCGGCCGCTTCTCGCGATCGCACGCGCTTGTCTTTCACGTCTTTGTCGTGCGCGGCACGGTACATATATACGTATATATACATATATATCTACACCACTGTCTGTCGGGGGTGGTTGCCACCTTGGAAACGCGAGGAGAACACTACACGGGGGGAGGGAGGGAGGGGTGCGAGTCCCCGCGAGCGAACGGCGACGGGGAGTCCGTAGTAGTGATCGTCGTTGCCCTTTCTCTGTCTCTTTCGTGTCATCTTTCTCCTCCTCTCTCACTTTCTCGCTCTGGTTCCTTTTTTATTTCGTCTATTCCCACCCCACGTTTTTCCGCTCTCCTGGCTTCGAGGTAGGCGTCGCGCTGGCGTACGCAAGTGACGCACGAGTTGCACGGGAAACGTGGCTTCTAGGAGCAACGCGGATTCGACGGTAACGCGCGACGACTTACGACTGTGAGAGATCGTTCGCGAAAGGAGTAGTACGCGGGGGTGAAGTATGTACGACTCGGATCGGCACGCGTGGGATTGTAATTGCGGTATGCTGGAACAATCTTACGCGCTGCGTGCCCGAAGTGAAGTGCACGAAGAAAGAATCGTCCCTGGAAGCGTCGTCAAATCATGGGGATTCGCGGCAGGCTTTCCATGGAAACTCATCACGATTTAACGTGCGTCATGTAACGTTCTCCGTGTCTTTTACGAATTTTGAATACATAACATCGCTGTCACGCACATATACACGACGTCGCATGCATGCAACAGGCGACACCGCGTTGCCAAAGTTTCCTCTTGATTAATCGATCGAAAATTATCGCGTCCCAAGTTCGCTGATGTGTAACCGTATCGCGAGACACGAAAGCCAGTGGCCAAATTTGCGCGAGTCACGCCTCGACTTGCGCGAGACCAGCCGCAAGTTGCTTCTTTCCTTCCCTCGAGAAAATAATTCGTCGAGCGCGATGGATGGAAGTTCCGACGCGACGCGGACGTTTGCGAGGCAAACGACGTCGTGAAGGGGCGACTGGCGAGCGGCCGAGCGCGAAATTACGCGAAGCGTGTGGCGCACACGAGTGACAATCTGACAATCGATACCGGCGCGAGAGCGCCAAGTGCGTAGCGGCGTGTAGCCCGGACGACGATCGACGTTTTGCCGGCAGTTTGGAAAAAGAGAAAGCGTCAACGATTAACGTGCGTCGTACCGTCGTACGTCGCGATCGCGACCGCCGGCCGGAGGGACGCAGGCACGCTTGTCGCGCGACGTCTGTCAGTGACGTGAGCCGGCGCGTCGCGACGCGTCGCCAGTCGCCATTCGCGTGAGACCAGCGGCGAGGTGGTCGCGCGCGAGAAACAACAAACCACGCCGCCGCGAGGGGCGAGGAAGGGGTAGAAGAAGAGCAGACGACGGCAGACGTGCGTGCGTGCGTGCGTGCGTCGCGTCATGAAGACGTGGCGCGGGGGTGTACGCGACGAAACTTCGATCCTCGCGGGCCCTGACTTTTCACCACGGCCGTCGTCGCTTGCGCTCGGCGAGCGGAGGAAAGTACCGGAAGAATGGCAACCCTCTTCGGTGTTGGCGCATGGAATAGCAATTATCGTCTGCGGCCGAGGAAGAAATCCAGTTGACACTCGGGCGTGAGAGGCGACACCGAGAAGGCGAGAAGCGGTGAACGGAGACGCCGCGCCGCGGACAACGGGAGGAAGGGAGGCGAAAGCGAAAGAGAGAGAGAGAGAGAGGAAGAGGGATAAGGAGGGCGCCGCGCGGAACACGTGGTCCGCGAGGGAGCAGTTTGAGCACGAGGTGTGTGTGTGTGTGTGTGTGTGTTGTGTGGCTTAGTTACGCTCCTGGCGCACGTGCGTAAGTGCATATACCCGTGAGCGTTTCTGCGGTGACACGTGTGAGTGATGGAAATCGGTGAGCGTTTATTACGAATAAAGGTATACAGTTGATAAAACGGTGGATATATATTTCTCGCGATTTCTCGCGACTGTTTGCGATTTTACGGAGTGTCTACACTTCGATTTTGCGCCAAGATTCCTAGTGACGTGCCAACGCGATCATTCGTAAGAGATTGGCAAGGAAATTTTGATCAGCGAACGAACGATCGGCGACAATTTCCTGTCCCTCTACGAGCTCGGTCAAGTTGACACTGTTGACAGCGGGAGAGAGCGTCGCCCTCGCATTTCGCGCTAAGTCAGGTTACGTCCCTGACCGTCAAGTTGGTCTGTTGAGTCGGGTGGTGTTGGTTCACTCTCCTCGTCTCTCTCGCTCATTCAACCCTTTCGCGCTCCCGTTCTCCATCTCTTTTTCTCTCGCTCGCTCGCTCGCTCGCTTTCTCTTGGTCGAACGCGGAACGGGTTATTACGGGTTACGAGAGAGAGTGCGTGCGTGCGTGCGTGCGTGCGTGCGTGCGTCGCGCGCGCGCGCGCGGGCGGGCGCACTCGCGAGGTCGCTTGTGTTTGGAACGTCGTGAACTTTTCTGCAATGTGACGACGCGGGGGATGAATGGTTACTAGCGTCATGTCGCATCAGTGCACGCGCCTGGGAACGGGTGCGCGGCCGGAGTACGTATGAGCGCCGGCCGAGGCGTCCTGGCTCCTGAGTTCCTGAGTCGGCGACACGCACGTCGCGCGGACAGCAGCGGAGCGACGATCGTTGGAAAAATGCCGGCGACGCGACCGTCGCACGACGACGACGGGCCCTTGTTGTTGTTGTCGTTGCCGCTGTTTCACCGAGACGAGCTCGCTCGCGCGCGCGTTCCGCCGCGACCAACGACCGAGGCGGTCGCGGACTCCTGAAGCGAGCGTGCCGGTTGGAGTGTGTGCAGTGTGCCTTCACCGTGAGCCGGCCGGACGTGTGTGACGTGTGTCTCGTCTACTGGTCACTATCGCTGCGTGTGCTGGTTTAGGTTAGGTGTGCCGGCACATAACCTTAAAGTGCGAGCGGCACGAAGAAACAACCACTCGAAGCCGCGTTACCGTCCTGGAATTATCATTCGTGAGAACGATCGGGAACGAGTTCGTGCGCTCTCGTTCGAATTGCGTGTCGGATTTCTACGCAGTGGGTGATCGGTGAGGGTGGAATGAGCTGGGTGACCACAGGACAATGAAGGCCAATGGGACAAACAATGGTGATTTTCTTTTACATATGTTTATTTCTGCAAGTGTGCTTTCTAGCAGAGTGATTTTTGATTCTGTCCTTATTCGATAAGAAAAGAATGTACAAAACTTTGTGACGATGCCCGTACTTTGGAGTATTGTTTACATAGGATGAATCCTTCGATGCTCTCATAAACATAAGAATCTTTATTATTTATGTAAGACTCACTTGTATGATTGATCATTTGTATGATTTAGATGAGCTGTTTTTGATTACTTTTTCTGTCATGAACGTGATGCGAATAAGATAGTTTTAGGCATCAGTGATTCAGCTCCTGCAAACGCAATAATTTAATTTTTGATAAGAAAGATATATTCCTTTAAGTTTATATCAGTTATTGATGAAATCAATTTATTTATTAATGTTGTTAATATGTATTATTAGTCTGCATATACTGTAATTGGAAAATGTTATTTATACTATATAAGGTGTTTTACAAGGAGACAAACTTTTAGAATATACAAAGTGTCTTAAGATTGTAATGTGAATACACAACTGAGTATCGAAAGCCTAAACGATTTGAGCTGAAATCTTTAGTGCTTAAATGTTTCGGTGCATTTATATACATAATATTCAGTTGTGCAATTTACGCTATGAAATCATTTTCAGTCTTGAATTACAATCGTACACAGAACTAGGATAGTAATATCACAAATTAAATGGACAAGCAATTTAGTAATATTGACGCTAATAAGCATCTTAGAAAGCTGTAAATAATTTATTACGAAAAATGTTACCTGAATCAACATTTGTCACAATAACTAGTATATGTAAGGAAATGTACATGCGTTTCAGCGCACAAATTGTAAAACTGGATAATATGCGTAACATAAATTCACACTGAAACGTTATTTAAGTACCAAAGATCCAGCTCGGACCATTTATACTTCTAGAGTATGTTCTACAGGCCATTTTAAGCAAAAAGTTCATATACCCTGTAGGTCAATTCGGCTTGATTATTGAAATATGAAAAATTTATTTTTGTCAGTAGTGTTCAACAACAATCTCATCTGGTTCAAAGCACTAATTTCCATTAGATATGCAGTGTGTTACTTTAAATATTTATTTGGCATTGAAGATTGGCGTTTAGGTAATATTAAGGTAATCGCACATTTCAACAATAAAAAAAATTATTCAGAAAATTGTAACAGAAATAATCATAATGGTTAATGAGCTATTTATTATTATTACTATAAATTTCTAGATACATTTTTATTGATTAATAGATTGTTTAGAAACATCAAGTGAGTCACGTTATTCTTAAGAATTGCCTCAAATATTTAGCTATGCTGAATATGCAGATATACCATAGTGTTTTGGTACAATGAGCAGCAGCAAAGCAGAAGATGAATATTTTGAATACTTAATATGATTAAGAAATAATATATATTCACATAAAATGTGTAAACGTCTGGTATTTTTTGTCTTATATATATAATATATATACATATATATATAATTGTTTATATCTAGATAAGCTGAATTGACTTATATATCTGTATGTGAACTTTTTTGCATAAAATGATCTCTGGAAGTTTGTTGGTTCCCTTTATCGGAACACGCAGTATATGAAACGATCTTCCATTTCTTTGTATCTTCTATTTCTATATATTTTAATCTTCAAATTATTTCTTATCATATATTAAGTTATTATAGTTAGTAACATTGTAAAATTATTATAAAGAACATAATGTTAACGTATATATTATCAATAATTTGTCACTATATAGTTCATCTATTTACAGGCTGTAGCCGCCTAAATACGCCATTGGCAGCCACCACCACGCTGGAGGATCCCGGTACACCAGCCTCCTGGAAGGGCCCGCCGCCCGGTTCGGAGGCATCGCCTTTTACGCCCAATTCTGTCGGCCAGGGTGGTGGTCCTGGCTCGGGTCCATACAACAGTACAGGCGGTCCACCCAGTAATGCGGGCTTTCAAGGACCGAGTTCGTTTCCCGGCAGCGCCGGTAGTCCAGCTGGGGCACCGCCATACCAGGGCCCGCCGCCTGGTTCGGCGACGCCACAGTACACCGCCTCCCCCGCGCCGAGCGGTTCCTCGACGCCTGGTCCTGGACCACCACCTAATTCCACCGGTTTTCCACCACCTCCGAATAATTCCGGTCCACCGTACAACGGGCCCGGGCCCAGTCCGTTTGGGTCACCCTCCGGTGCGCCACCGCAATTCGTTGGCCGACCCGGCTCCTCGGGACCACCGTTTGTACCACCTGGTGCCGGTAATCCACATTTCCCCTCGCATGGCCAGCCGTTCGGTGGACCACAGTACGGTATACCACCTGGAAGCCCTTTTGGACCAGGAGGACATCCTATGGCTGGACCTATGGGACCTGGACACCCGGCGATGATGGGACCCGGTGGTCCTGTCGATAGGCTGGATCAAGGGTAAGTTTTGACTCTGATTTGTTGCATATTTTTAATCTAAAAAGCGAATAATTATTCTACTCCAAAATAACTATAATTATTAAGTCTAGGGATCTTTTTGGTATATAATGTTTATAGGGAAGAACGTGTTTTTCCTGTATACACGCTGATAGCCTCACAGATATTGAAATAGAGCTTTGCTCGCTCTATTTTGCATGTATAATTTATGTTCAAATCACCTAATGTTTCGACACTACGCTCTCTGATCGAAGCAAACGATTAAAGTTTGCTATAAACAATAACATCCTTAAATTATTATTCCTACGAATCGCGATAAACTCCGTTATATATTCGCGAGCATTAAAACATATTATTTTAAATTAAATAGCATTTTCTAATTATAAACACATATTATACTAGATAACTTTGGAAAGATTTTATGCACTGAGAAATGGAGCGCGATTTGTAGAGAAAGTTGCACGCAGCAGCGGTTACGCTAATGATTATTAATCGCAGTGAAAGTTGCTATTATTCTGATTTGCAGTAATTTTAGGTTAGAGAATTGCAGAATATTTAGGAAACATGAATGATGTAAAATTTTATGATCTACATTTTAAAGTAGCAAATCAACGGAGAAACGTATATTTTTTTCGTATTCGCAATATACACATATATTTACTGGAAAAATCCACTTTAAATGTAGGTCTTTTTTATATCTGGATTTTATGTAATATAATATGAACACTGAAAAGAAATTGTTCATTTCACTCGATTAATTTAATTGTTTTTATTTCTTTCATTCTTCATCGAAAGAAATAAAGACGAGCGAAATTAATTTGGTCAAATGAATAATTTTTTTTAGTGAACTAATGAACCATAATATAAAACCATAAAAATAATTTCAGTTATTATGAAGATATATCTTTTTGGATCTTTATCGTACACTGTAGCTTTCAAGTTTCTTGATATCAATTTTACTATTATTTCGTTTCTTTTAATATTTCTTTTTATCGATTATTCTTATGGCTTTAATGAAGAAAGACCCATTTCTATATTTTATATTTTTAAAAAAGAATTACTTATATATGTTTCTTTATTTAATGTATTCTTATGCATTGCATTCTCTTAAACATTTCAAAATAAAAAAAATTGAAACGTGAAAAGAGGAAAAGTATTATTTCCATCTATTGACGTATTAATTTTGCCTGAGTTTCTGATATCTCTGAAAAGTTTAAACCAAAATTACAAGACATAACCGAAAGTAGAAAGTAGACGACAAACAAATTAAATATGTGTTTGTTAAAAATATTGTCAGGAGCCTGGAAGAACTTTGCATTGTCAAAGCGACTCTTTGTGTAGAGAATCTTTTTTGAAAAATAAAAGGGGATAACAACACGAGAATGCGCGAGAATACAGTGCAGGATGCACGTCGCATGTGTTGACATTCCTAGATAACGTGGTCCACAGGTAGCTGGCGTTATTTACTGCTCGTCTCCCGGTCGGTCCGCATTCTTACTGATAGTCCTCGAGCACGCTCGCATTTACGCCCTTTGGGATCCATCTTAATCGTTTGCATCGAGTCGTCATCGCCGTTGTTCGAAACAAACACGTGGAGCGTTCGTACGCTTCACCGGCTTGACTGACTTATCACGTGCTTCGGGCGCTGCATGCAAGCAGCTTGAAACTCTTACTCGCGCGTACGCATGAACTCATACATAGACGGAGAAGCGCGCGGGGTTGCTTGGTCGAATGGCGAAAACCAGTTTTTTTGAATAGTTTTGAAGAAGCGTCCAGGGCTGTTACGCGCTCCAGATTCGATCGGCCGAATCGGGGAATGAAGCGGAACGTATTACTCGAAACTTGCACGATGCGTGCGATGAGACTGGAATGCGAGGTAGATCGGGGCGGAAAAAAAATCCGTTACGATTCTAACAGTTATCGGTACGTACATATGCATGTGGGACGATAGGCTAATACCGCGGTATATAACCGGGGTCATTTTTAGGCGTCGACACGTTCGATGGAAACATAGTCGCGACACACATAGGCATACTCGTCGAATACGAGGAAGGGAGATACATTTGCACGCGTATGCGTACATGTGCACTCGCGTTACACGTGCCCATGTACGTAGTATGGGTACGTGGGTGCGAACGCACGGTGTGCTCGTCGATGTATGGAATATTCTAAATTCCGCCAGACCACCGAACCGATTGCGTCAAACATGCGGATAGACGCGGTACGCGAGTAACGCGAAGGAACTTTCCGCGTTTTGAAATACGACGATAAAATTGCATAAACAAAATTTTTAATATATGTTCAAGATTAAGTAAACAAAGGCTATTCGAGCCGAGCTAGGTATCTTTGTTAATACAGTCAAACACAATACAAACAATGTGAATAGTGATAAAAACGGATGTTTTGATCTTTAATGTGGTTATCCTCAGTGTTACATAAATTAAAGATATAAAAGTTGTCAGCGATGACAAACCATATTGTACTTAATATGAAATAGAGCGCAAACCCGCGATGTTTCTCTTCATGGGTATTTTAATGGGTATATACTGGATGTAATAAAGCGACCGTATCAGGTTCTTTTCTTGAAAAATATACATTTTCTTGAAAAATGTTTCAAACAAAAGTTATAGGGTTTCAAGTGGCGCGTTTATACATATAGTAATATGAGTTTGACCCCGAATGGCGTTGTCAGTCAGGTAAAGGTCACCTTGAAATTTTTTAACGGGAACCCCCTTTTTTATTGCATATTCTTGTAGCTGAAGTCGATTTTTAAAACACTATAATAAAGTTTTTTTTTTTCAATTAGTACTTTTTATAAAGTTTGAAAGTTCCTTTTACTTTCGTTTTTATGTAAAAATAAAAATTAGAGAAACAACCTCCTATGACCTGGATCTTAACAAATGTTATCAAGACCATGAGACTCTGAATAACATTCAATGGGTTGGTTCGTCCCGTCGGCCGAACACCTTGGGTAATGCTGGCAGTATTGTAACTTTCAAGCCGTATAACTTGAAAAGTACTTAATGAAAAAATATTTTATTATAGTGTTTTGAGAAGCTCTTGAGATAATCTACGAGAATTAGGGGGGTTCCGATTACAAAATTCGAAGTGATTTTGGCCTGGCTCCAATGACGCCATCCAAGGTCAAATAAATGGTATCTTTTTACGTCCTTCTCCAAACTAACAATTTTTAATATCATTTTTAGACCGCGTATGTGAGAGACACAACCGATAAATAAGAGCCCTATACGGTCGAAGCTAAATCTTAAAATGCTTTAAATAAATCAATCTTGAATCACTAAATATGATATATATGTACTTGACATATATACCACAATTATAGTCTAACGAACTGTGCACCGAAATATTTCCGGACTAAACACAATTAAACCACTGTAATTTCGCGAATTAAATTAAAATTCTAATAATTTCGATGCTCAGTCAGGCATCATATTTCAAAGATATTAATATGCTGAAAACTGTAATTAAACTTATTGCGAAAAATATTACCTCGGCCGGGAGTCGAACCCGGATCTCTTGTATTCCATACGAGCGTCCTGAGCCATTAGACCATCGAGGCATACAATTTTTATCTGAAACATTTTTCAAGAAAATGTATATTTTTCGAGAAAAGAGCCTGATACGGTCGCTCTATTATACCCGATATACAGCCTTAGCAAAAAATATTAGGTACCTATATTGAATATTGTTTTCATTCATCTGCATTCTTTTACCTATATTATATTATTTTCTATTGTGATTACCGGCATTATATAAGAAAAAACCTAACTTTTGGACACAACTGCGCTCTGATGAACAAATTCCCTGCTTTAACAGCGCAAAATATTTTCTTATATAATTTTCTATATAATTTTTGTATCTTTAAAACAAAGAATTTGTGTTCTTAAAGCAGAGAATTTGTTTTTTAAAAGCAGAGAATTTATGTTTTAAAAAGTGTGGTTTTAAAGCAAAGAATTTGTGTTTTATAAGTGCATACGATGATTTAAAAAATGACAGTGATTATGAACATTGCACAGTAAATCATTCCATCAATTTTGTGGATCTCGAAACCGGAGTTCATACTCAAAACATAGAAAGATTATGGAGAGAACCGCGAGCGAATATTCCTCGCTATGGTACACGATATAACTTTACACATTACATTGCAGAATTCATATTTAAAAGACTGTATGAATATGATGAATGAATTGATAAATTCTTTGATATTATGAATGCGATATATCCACTAGATAACGTACATAATGATTAAAATTCTTAATTCATATATATTTTGATTATTCTTTATTTTAAAAGAAAAGAACACGCGTAGGCGGGGGAGGGGCTCCGTTCCTCCCCCTGCATCCCCTCCCCGATTTAATCCTGACTAACCCCGATTTAATCCTAACTCAACTTTTATATAATTTTTCTTAGCAGAGGGGAAGTGGGATGAACTTTGCTTCTGTTTTATATACTAGAAAAGAGAATTATTTTTCAAACTTTTTGTTAATGACTTTTTAACGAATAATGAGCGACGGCTAAAACTTGTTAGAGGTCATTCGGGGTCATGACCTTGACAACATATGTCAAGGTCATTGGGGGAAGGGGTCCTCTAAGATTTACCGCACAAATGTATCGAGATCTTTGCAATTTTGTTTGGAATTTCGTGGAACGAAAGCTTTAATTCGATGTTTAATAGATGCTTAAAAAACAGGTTTTTATATAGCAAAGTTTTCGAAAGGGAAAGTCGACTCGGAATTCATGAGGGATTTAGAAGGATGTGATCGGGAAATATACGGTGTATTGATATGGCATTTTATAACCTTTGACGTTTTATGTATATATTCATATATGTTATTCCAAAACGTATTCGATAACGATACTCGATATCGATGCATTTCAAAAACGTAGCTCGATTTTAAGGGATCGTGTTCGGCAATACGTCGATGAAGAATGCGTAGGAAGTAGAACAACATCATTAGCGAACGGTGCTATAAGCTCTGTGC